TTTTGAATGCTGACTATCGCACGTAATACAGCCAAGGCCTATGGTTAATATAGTAATTTAATAATTTAATAATTTCTTAATTCAAAATAAAACATTAATGAATCCATCTCTGATAATCCCGGGTTGCTATGGTCACGCAGGTTTGTTTACGCATTAAACTCGTGGCCACGAGAAAAATATGTCGTTCCCTGAACATAAGAAGTCGTGGCCATGAGAAATGAATGTCGTTACTTTGACAAAATGATCTCGTGGCCACAACATAATATCACGTTTCCAAAAGTTAATATGACGTTCCCTCAAATTAATATCTCGTGGCCACAACATATTATCACATTCCCACGAGTTATTATGTCGTGGCCACGACAAAACTAAGTGAACCGAACATGTCAGCTCCCGGGCACCATATGCCTACTCTGCTGACTGATCGCTTCTCCCAAAGTTTGAGAGTGAACAAGCAGTTCCCTTACGATACTACACTCGTACTGCGTCTTGCTAGACGCATATGGAAAAAAAGCCTTTTTTCTCCTGAACTGAAGCCTTTTCATTCACGCAGTGAAACTGCATGGCCATTGGTTCGTGCAGTGTATTAAAAACTAATTTTTTTATATCCCGCGTGCCTCGCTCTCACCCCAGAGAGAGTATTCCCCCATCCTTTTCTCCCAGTCTGATCAGCGTCCCTCTGCTGGTGCGAGCGACCTGATCTCATTTGGGGGAAGTGAGGACAAGCTGCTTGATGACAGCATGTCATTGGCAGCATCGGATGCAGAGGAGCTTTTGGGCTCGGTGAATGACCCCACCCCCTTGCCATCGTCTGCGCCCAGCGCCACCAAAGACGGGATGGATGCCGAGCTTCTCCGTATCATCTCCAAAGCGGTTGAAGAGCTGGGTTTAGAGTGGTCTCCGCCGGAGGAGCCCTCTCGCAGCCATCTGGATGAGTGGTTCCTGCTGGGGCGCCGCCAAGCCCCTTGTCAGCATTCCTCTCCGTTTTTCCAGGAGGTCCATGACGAGCTCACCAGTTCGTGGCGCGCTCCCTACTCCGTCCGCCTTCGTACTGCTTCTTCATCCGCCCTCACTTCCATCGACGGCGCTGAAGAAAAAAGGTACGATAAGCCACCTCCCCTAGATGAGTCAGTGGCCGCGCATCTCTGCCCGCC